CAACATTCCAGCACATCTATGTTGTCTGGGGTTAGTGGCCAGAGCCACAGCTCTACTTCAACTGCCTCTTACCCAGGCGTTTTTGCGTGGGACATTACAGCAAGCACAGAAAAGAAGTCATCCTCACTCAGGGACTTCACTGTGACTGTTATTGACCAGAACACAGGTGTCTCTTCCATGTCTATGACAGCCCAGCATGATAAAATTTCAGATGCCAATATTATGGTCCCTCTGTATCCAACACTATCTGCCAGCCTTGTTCAGAGGACACAATCTCAAATTCCAAACCAGCACGGCCATAGCCTGTCACTCCCCTACCAGAAAGGAAGCCAGGTATATTACTATAATCCAGGCACACTGGGGCCTCAACTATCTGGAGAACTTGGCCCCTGGCTGCAATCCTATGGCTCTGTGTCATATACAGGAAATAGGGCCTCTGCCCATCAACCAGAAATGGTGATGGTATTAAAGGAGGTTCGGCCCACAAAAGTTCTACCACCAGTCTCAACTACTGGGATGTATTACCCTGTATCTGCTCAACCCATCACAGAAACCAGTTTTCAAGGTGAGTACAACCAACAAGAAAGGAGAGGAATACACTCAGCATTGAAAGGGAGGGTGAAATCTATAGCCAAGTGGTAAGTCCATGTATAGGCAGAATTTAAGTCCTGAGACTTCAACCACTATTCTTGGACATTGCTACTCATTTTCAGGCTCTATCTAAGAACACCTTCTAAGTGAGAAAGTGCAACACTATAATGGCCATCTATGCCACATATAAGAGAGTCCCAAGAGCTACAACACTTTTTAGTGGCCTGGCTGATCAGTTCCCCTACACCAGCACTCTGTATCTCTCTTCCTTAATCTATTACTTTAGTCTCTTTGGAAGGCACTTCAGAACTTTTATTTTCGCGGTGACATTTTGATTTTCCTTAACTTACAATAGGATTTAAGACCTTGTGCTCAGAGATCCTCTCCAAAACAAACAGACTCAGAATCTGTGCTTGCTAATATATTTCATGAGGAAGGGCTCCACTCTCTCCCCTAGTCCATGGTGTAAAGGGTTCTTATTCTCTCAGGAGAGTGGAGAGAATGGAAGTGACCCTATATGAGAATATGAGGCTTTATAAAACATCTCCTATTTAAAAATCACTTTCACTTTTTATTTGGCTTACAACAACCCTATGGCATTCAAAGAAAGCCAAGAAACAATCACATCAAATGATAACCAGTAAGAGAACAGTCACTGCCTATCACCCAATACAGGGTCTTGTCCATGGTCCTGAAGAAGAGCTAGTAGAAATGCCTTGCCCGTATTAGAAAGGTATCCCATTGCTGCACTGGCATATAGGGGGAACATCTCACTTACCAGGGATTGACTTCTTCCTTGACTCCTTTGTAGTGATGGAAACTTCCCTGGGGATGGATACTTCCCTGGGATTGCAATCTCCAAGCAAGACATTTTGTCTGGCACAAGCTCCGGAATTCTCCAAGTCCTGCAGTACCCAAAATACCCAGATACCTGAGAGTAATCCTTCACCTGAGCTTGGGGACATTTCAATGACAGCCCCAGTCCAGAGTCCAACTAATCTCTTGAAACTGTCTCCAGCTCCAAACCAGGACAAAACCGAGATTGAGAATTTGGATGAGATTAAAACCAAGCTTTCAAAGCCTCTAGATGCCTACCAGTTCCCAAAAGAAAATCAAGATCCTCCACTGCTTCCTTTAGAAATCCCTGATATTCACCAGCTTCTGTCCTGCATTGGTCCTCTTGGCCAAGAGGAGCAGCCTCGTGCTGAAAATGCCAACCTGAGAAAGAACAGCCAGCGTCTTGAGGGCCAAAGGATACTTGAAAATGGGATTGAGTCTAGCAATGATCTTGCAGACATCACTACATTGGTGGAGGATACTCACCTCCCCTCAATCTTCAGTTCCTTACAAGATCTTGACAAACCCCAAAGTCCCTCCATCTTCAGTTCCTTACTAGATCTTGACCAACCCAAAAGTCCCTCCGCAAAGAACAGCAAAGATCCCAGTGCTATCAAGGTAAATCACATGCAGGAAAAGTCCAGCGTCATAAATGGTTACTCTGATCAAGTCAGGAAGAACAAGCATAAAGCTGCCGAGCCTATC